CTGGAGTTAAGGAACATCAAGAAATCAAGATTGCTGTCAAACAATCTTGTTCATTTAACTGCATACAAGTTTGTGGGCTATAAACCAGCACTGGTTTTACAGCACCTGTGGGAAACCAGTGGCATTTGAACAGCAATTATGGCAAACCAAAATTTGAAGCTGCTCAAGTCAAATTTAATTGCATTGTCAAGTAACAACTGCTTCTGTTTATTTTATTCAATGAAGCAAGCTGTACAATTTACTTCATAATCTCTTTGATACTTAGGAGTTGTACCTTGAAAACAACCTGATTGAAGAAATCTCTGAAACGGCATTCAACCACACCACAAACATCAACGTCGTTGTGCTAAGACATAATAAATTAGATGAGTCAAGTATTGCACCTTTAGCCTGGATTAATCACAGGTGTGTGTCCTCAAGAAGTTTAACAACGAAACCAATGTTTAGGCAAATATTGCTCATTTTTGTTTTATAAAAAGCCTATTTTGCATAGAAAAAAAATTAAAATTGAAATAGTAGACATTTGGTTCCATATGAATAGTTGGTGTTTAGCAAATATGTTTTTGCCCTGAAAGATTGCATGCTAAAGTAACGCAACCGTTTAGCACAATTGTCCTTTGGAAGAACTGAAAAGTGGTACATTTTCTAGAAGTGAAAACCCCTTTCTGAACCCCCCCCCCCCCTTTAAACACTTAACCTTTTCTCACCGTGTCTAAAAGGAACCTGGAATCCTTAGATCTCTCGCACAACAACTTCTACCTGGTTCCATCCTTTCTGCCAAAGTCGCTGATTCACCTGGTGCTGGCCGGGAATCAGATCGAACGCATTCCAGGATACGTGTTCGCACACATGGAGCCTGGCCTGGAGTACCTCTACCTCTCTTACAACAAGCTGGATGGTGACGCTATCGAGCCAGAGTCCTTCTTTGGCACCTTCAACACTATGACCGAACTCTGTCTAGACCACAACCAGCTTACGTCTATTCCCATGGGAATTAATGAGATGACAACGTTACATTTCCTACGACTTAACAACAACAAAATAAGGTACACTGCTTGCCTCCTGCAAAGAGCAATGATTTGGTCATAATTACCTGTGGCACAATGGTCTGTGACCTTTACACAAATTACATAGCTTCAAAGCAACTTCAGACAATTTATCTTGAAATAAGTTTATTTTCCTTCACAATTGGCAAATAACTTGTTTTAATTTTAAGGTTTATGTTTAATACAAATAAAAACAACTTCCCAGTGTGGTAAGAACTTAATTCAAGATTAGGGATGTAATCTGACAATCAGCATTGGCCAATAAATGCAATTGTTTGAGCTATCAGACTTTGTCCAGTTATTTAAAAACACCCAATAATATAGGCTGATTATATCCTGTCAATAAAAAAAAGCATCAAAATTCATGCTGTGTGTGAAGAAAAGGTCTCCTGTGGAATTACTTTTAAAACAATGTAATTAATTATTAATTTGAAGGTATAAAAAAAGCAGAACCACCAAACTATCAGTCAGTATCTGTATCAGCAGATGTCATAATCGGTATCGACACAGAAAGTCTGTATTGATGCATCCCAATTTGTGATACATTTTCTATGTCCAACAGGCACATATCAGAAGATGCCATCTGTGACCCCTTGAATGAGAATGACTCTCATCTAGTCGCCCTTCGCCTTGAGAACAATTTCCTCGACCCCCGGAAAATCCCACCCACGGCTTTCTCCTGCGTCCGCTCCTACTCTAGTGTTGTGTTAAAGCCTCAGAGGATTAAGTAACTGCAATCTTCTGTGCTATTATTAAAAACCACTAAAGACCGTAAACATTAATCTAAGTTGATTCCTTCTGAAGCATGCAGTTATCATTTTTCTCCCAAAAAAAGAAAAATTGTCCCAAAAATTGCATTAAATCTCTGTTTGGCATGTTTATTCTCAGTCTTGTTTTACTAGCTTTTATGAGCTTCTATTTAGAAGTCAGATAAGACTGAACATGATCACCGCCTCGAGGATCATGGCAGAACGCTGTCATTGTTCACGCCTGTCTAGACGTGTTTTTGTAAGATGCATGAATCAACTGTATAATAGTTTAAGAGGGAAAAAAAGTAGTAGACTATAACTTTGTATTCTACATTGAAATTGATCTTATTCTTGTCATAACAGTATTACGTTTGTCTGTCGTAGTGAAGAAAAACAGGATGCTTGGCTTTAAGTGTTTATAAAAGAAAGCAGCCAAAATCAACCTGCTTACATAATGCATTTTTTTTACTAAGACAGGACCAATAAGGACGTTTGCTACTGAGAGAACTGTGATATATAATTGAAAGATATACATACAGTTTTGTATTTGCCTAGTTTAGAATTCAGTGAGAAAACCAATACAGCTTCAATAAAAACTTTTCCTATGTATTTTTTTATTCACATTATCACTCCTTTTATCCAAATGTGAGTGTTAAATTAAACTATTACATACACAGATTTCCTAAAATGTCTATTGTCTTTCTTCCTCAAAATATCCCCGTATAAAACATCTGTGCTCTATAAACGTTCAACAGAAGTCTTGTGCTAATGGAATCACTGCAGACTGAAACACATTAACGACCCCTGTAAATGATCTGACTATGACATCATAGTCTTCCGCTCCTTCTGAGATTCTTCTAAGATTTTGAGTTCTCACTCCATCATCGCCAACGAAATGTGGACGATTTCTGAAAAATGCAACTGGGGTTTCACTGATTTTAGGCTGCGAAACAACAAAAAACAAACAAAAAAACAAAAACAAAAAAAAGCCTGGAAGGAGAATTATCTCAGAAGCTTTCCATGAAGTTATCCATGGCATCAATGACTCAAATACTAGTCACATGGCTTTTATTTAATCTTATTTTGAGGGGTAAATAAACAACAGCTGAACCACCCCCTCCTAGTGTCTGGGTACAGTTAAATCTTGCTCTATATTTAGAGGACAAGCAAAGCTGTGGAAAACCGCCAACATATCTCAAGTGTTTGCAAGGTCGAGACATTACCAACGAGATCCCACACATCATAACATTACAACAAATACGATTGAAGGCGTGAACAACAAAAGAATTAGAGAAAGATTGAGGGAAATTATTGGTATTTCATCCCTCTGAAACATTTAAGCACATCGATCAATTTCTACCTTTCCTAAACCGATTCACTCTCACATGTAGCCATAGACACAACTGCCAAACAAAGAAAGCAGATACATATACATGTATACAAACAATTCTAGTAGTATTTGTCATTTTCCAAAAAAACCTTTAAGCCCCGTTCACACCAAGAACGATAACTATAAAGATAACGATATTAGCATCCACACCAGCGAACGATATCGTCTGTTTATTCCAAGCGCACATGCGTCTGCCGCTTTAAATTCTTGAGCTCGTTACAGCAGGATGGATTCTGATTGGCTGTCAATTTTTTATTGTTCATCAGCTGGAGAAAAATCATTTTCAAAGTGATTCCAACGATATCGTTTCTCTTTGTCTTTATCGTTATAGTTGTCATATGATGCTGCTAAAAAGAACATTATTTTGTGTATTTGGTGTAATGAAATGTGTTTATGCGGTTTAAAGTTAAAAAAACACATTATTTTCCACATACTGTACATTATTGTTTCTCCTCTATGTTTATAGTTATCGTTCTTGGTGTGAACGGGGCTTTAGTCACATCAGTATTTATATCGCAAATTTACTTATGTAACATATTAAAACTTGATATCAATTTATCTTGAATTAAGTTTTTTTTTTACCCCATTGGCAAAGAACTTGTTTTAAGGTTTATGCTTAAAACAAATAAAAAACTGTGGGGTAAGAAAAAGAAACGTAAAACAGCAAAGCTGTGGAAAACCACCAACATGTCTCAAGGCCGCACAAGTGTTTTCAAGGTCGAGATATTTCCAACATGGTTCTGCACGTCATAACATTACAACAAATAAGACTGTGGCCGTGAAAGACAAAGAATTAGAGAGAGACTGAGGGAAATTATTGGTATTTCATCACTCTTTCTGAAACACGTAAGCACACATTTCTACCTTTCCTGAACCGGTTCACCCTCACATGTAGTGTCGGTAATAGTATCTACATCCTTTTAATTTACGGCACCAACTCCACATACCACAAACATTTATTGGTTTGAGGTTGGTTATCATTTCGGAAGGAATGCCGGCCAGTGAGACTCAGGAGAATGAAGGGAGAAAACATGAGACATAGGAACTTCCATCATCTCAAAACCCCCAGCCAAACCCAAGCATATGTGGCGCCACAAGTACTGCCCAGTGAATAGAGAGGGGTCTCGTTTTGTGCTGCTGTAAGCAAATAGCACCGTCTGGAATAGTTATTATCCAACATTTAGGTTTAGATTAAAGGTCCCCCATGACTTGGGAATTACAAGATTTTGTACCATGAACATTGATTCAAAGAATGATTTAGTCATGATAACATGCATTTCTCTTCCTAAAAAGTGAATGATGTAATTTGTGAATTATTGCTGTTTCTGGCAGTTGAATCAATCAATCATTCTACATTGTCTGATGGGATTCATGTCAAGAAAAGCAGAAAGATTTTTTAATGTCTAAGAATTTGAGTTGATGTTTTTTATTTATATTTCCCAATATAAACTAAGGATAAAAAGTGAAAAGCTATTTTCATCTAGCATTTTACATCACTATCAAACCATTACATAACAAGATTTAATGTTCTATCTAAAAACAGAAGCCCAGAAATAGCTCCACAAATTATGCAATATTATGCACTCTGAAATATTTAAATACATCAAAGGTCATATAAAATAGAGACCACCCATTGGCAATGTAAAGAGTGAGAATATCCCACACTGGCCATTGAAAATTTAGCCGTACAAAACTGCCCAAGTTTCAAGTACTGATGAGAAACATACGGCCGGTAACAATGAGTGTTCAGTGCTAGTTAAGCATCCAGCAGAGCTGCGTACCGTTCCTACCCCTTATTCCCAATCTGCTCCTTGAACCAGCAGCATCTTTTCCATCCCCATTCATTCAAGGATCTCATGCTTCGACGAGTGTTATCGCCACCTTTCAAGCTTTTGTGAACGCTGCATTTAAGGACCAAATCTCACCCCTGGAGGCTTACTTGAAGAAGGATTACACAGATTCATCAGGTATGCTGTTTTTATCTAATTCTAGATCATGGAAGAGTGATTTCACCTCATTAGGTTTGTGCGAAGCTCCATTTCATATACATTTCATATACATGCATTCAAAGAAATGTTTGAATAAACCAGACAACATATTATATTAATCGGGAGTGTACAAATTCACTTAAAAGTGCTGCGGTGAAACATTTACAGATTAATTCTTCATCATTCAAGATGCTGAGCAACCCAGTAACATGCAACTTTCTCTAAACATGATCTCAGGTGTTTTAAAACATCACAAAACAGTTTTTTTATTCACGGCGAAAGGAGAATTCTAAAGTTTCTTTTCTATTTAAAACAATAAAATGTTACCAAATGCAAAAATCATACCAAATGAGTTAGATTTCTGATCAAATGTCTTGTGGATGGTGTCAGAAACAAAGTGTTTAATTTTTAAATGTCTATAAACTGTGAGCCACCGTCTTACATGTTGATGACTAAGGCGTCCATAAACAAGATTGCTCTATAAACAATTGTACAAGTGCACCTGGTTCATTTGAACTTCTTTTACAAACAATTACAGCAATTATTTACATTTTGCCCTCACAATTATTAATGCTACTGAACTGAATCTGATTCAATATTGTGCAGCTAGAGAAAAAACTGAGTAACAATCAAATAACCCCCAAAATATTGCGCAACTATGAGGGTAATGATATTTCAGGAGCATCTGTAGTTATTGTGAAGTACTACGTAAGTCATTTAATTAGAATATAACTTTCTTTAACCTGTCATCAATTCCTATTGGCCCATTTCATTGTGATGCTCACTAATAATCCAATCAGGACACTTGGGATCCAGTCCACTTTTTTCTTTTTCATCCTGTGAAACATACAAAACAATGTAACATTTGCATGCCAAAATGTTAAATTTGACAAAGCACTTGTGTTCATATTCGCAGGGCTAAACCATTTATGACTACAGCTGCACCATGAAGGTACTTTTACTACTCACCCTGCTGACGTTATGTCACACGAAACCATACATGCCTATCAATGTCATGGATTTCATCAAGCATCATGACATCATGCAACAAGATGCGGGTGACTATGATGATGACGACGATGACCATTACGACAATTATGATGATAACTTTGTTTCGGACTGTCCCGAAGGGTGTCGGTGCTCAAAGAAAGTTCTGCAGTGTTCAGATCAGGGTAAGAACTTCATCATACTACTTTAAACAACAAAGAAGGTACCAGTCACTGACTAGTCATTTTAGAGGTCAACTTGAGGTCATATGAGGTCAACTTGTATTAAAAAGTTACAATTTACAATTTAGTTTTGATGTTTTATTTAATGCACTAACAGCATATTTTAATACAAATACACATTAAGACAGACATCTTAAGATGCATTAAGGAAATATGGAAGCTTGTTTCTGCCGTGGAATACAACAAATGGCAGAAAAAAGATAATTGCAACTTTTTATCTTGCAATTCTGAACTCGCAATTTTGAGAACAAAAGTCTGAATGGTGAGATATAGCCGCAATTACCTTATTTTTTACACAAAAAACAGAATTGCGAGATGGAATTAACAGAGAAAAAAGTCAGAATAGTCAGAAGTCAGAATTATAAGATAAAAAGTCACAATTACCTTATTTTATTTTTTTACCTGTGGCAAAAGCAAACTTCCATAAGCAAGCAGACCAAATAAAAGATAAAATAAAATGATATAAAATAAAAAAAAAAGATTATTTTAAAAAAGTATCTTAAGACGCCTGCGTTCTGTTAGGTCCCACTGAGCTCTGTCTTGCTGTTTTTGAATGCAAGAACACGTCTAAGAAACGCATCTGATCGAGATTATAATTACAAAGGGTTTCCTTAAGACTAATTTGTCAACTAGTCTTTCAGGCAGCCCACAAAAATGGGCAGCTTTGCACATCCCCATAATAAACAATAGGGTATAAGTATATTAATATATAGTATATAAAATCTCACATGAATCATTTAAGATGAACAGCTTGTTTGAGGCAATTGAACATTTTGAATCGGTCTTAATGAGAATGATTTTTCTTTTTTTTTTTCTTTCTTTTTGTCTTTATAGGTCTGACCAAGGTGCCAAAGGACATTCCTGCAAACACGTTGCTCGTCGATCTCCAAAACAATGACATCACAGAAATCAAGGAAGACGATTTTAAAGGCTTGGATAATCTCTATGTGAGCAGTAAACACCCTCGTTAAATGCTTTTAGGGCATTTTAAGAGTTGTGTTCTTATACTGGGTTTACACAAGGCCATCTGGAGACATGCAGTGTAGCGGGATTATGTGGAATGCTGGATGCATATTTGAGTGTTATTGATATTTGCATTTATTGCAGACTGTTTCATACTTGTGGTGAATATTTGCTCATGGTTAGTGGTAAAATGGTTAAATGTTCTTGCTGAGCAAGAAAGCTAGAAAGGGAATAAAATACCAAGAATAATAAAAAAGAGCCTATATCTTGTAAACAATCACACAAAATTATTTTCAGATTTTCCAGAAAATTCCAGAATATTCAGAACTAATTATCCAATAATTTAGTTATTTGTCTGCCAAAAAATAAATAAATAAAACATTATATATATATATATATATATATATATATACATAAAATGTTACAGGAACCTGAATGTGTTTTTAGTGTCCAGTACTTTGCGTGTCAAGAAGCATTTTTAACAGATTTGAACTATGTTTGTATTGATGTGGTTATGTCATCTACAAAGAATACTTCATATTTGATGTGCAATAACAGCAGAAATTGCCCAAAAAAAACTCTGTAGTCAAATAGATAATGCCTATAACTATGTCCAATAACTTCAGACATTTATTTTAATATGCAACAACATTCAATACATCACACAAAACTAGTGTTTAAGACCCATAAAAATGCATCCAAGCTGTAAAATGCACTGATTACAATTCTGTTTTAAAAATGGCGGATATGTTTATGGCTATATCCATTCATGCAATGTACTTTTGTTATTTCCCCTTCTATTTTCGCAGGCCCTGTTTCTGCTCAATAACCAGATATCAAAAATCCACCCAAAGGCCTTTCGCAACATGAACAAACTCAAGATTCTCCACCTGTCATACAACCTGCTGACACAAATGCCTGAGAACCTTCCCACGAGCATTCAGTCACTGCGACTGCACGACAACAAGATCAGCAGACTTCCAAAAGGAGCATTTAGAGGAATGCAAGACCTAAATGTTTTAGGTAGGTCTCCTAAGTGATGATTTTTAAATAAACAGGGTCTGAGTCATGCTAAGCAGTTAGCGCACTTGCTTCAACACATTGAGATGTAAGACTTGCTTCATTTCCCGATCCTATTCCCTCTGTTCTCTCCATCATGACCTCGTTAAAACTGGTTATATAATGAGATAAATGATCTTACATACTATTTATGTCTGACAAGAACAAGCTCACTTCAATCAACTGATCTCCATGTTTCTCCGGTAATTTACAGCTAAAGAACACTCTGCCTCCTAGTGTCTACATTATGATCTGCATTTACAAATTACAGAGATTCATCTGAGAATATGGGATAATATGGTGTTATAGTTAAAAATACGACTGGCAACCAAAATGCTTCTGGTTCAAACCCAACAAGGAGTGATCCATGACTCTTTAAGTCACATTTTTCTATGTAAATAACTATTTGCTTAGAAAAACAAGTGGTTCCCTTTTCTTGCATCTCTAGAACTGAGTGCAAATCCAATTGCAAACAGCGGGATTGAACCAGGGGCTTTTGACGACATGGCGACTCTCTACTTGAGAATAGCTGAAGCAAGGCTTACAGCTATCCCTAAAGGTAAGTATTAGCATGTTTTATGAAAATCAAAAGGCTTTTGCACCTGAAAAAAAAAAAAGTCTTAAAAAGGATCTGGGTCTCATAAGACAAAGTGCTTACAAATTTGTTGATGTAATGTAGCCCTAACAATACTATTACGGTCTTTCTACTTCAAAATTAAAATGTTAAACGTGTTACTTGCCGTTTCTGAGTGAAAACAGTTTCTACACCAAATGTTTTTCAGTGTGAGCACACAAGTCTCATAACTGAGATGTTTATTAATCTAAATCCCACAGATCTGCCATCTTCCCTCACTGAACTTCACTTGGACTATAACAAGATTGCCAAAGTGGAGTCAGAGGATTTTTTAAGATTAAAAAGTCTACAAAGGTAAGGTAAACAAACTTCCCCTTGTGGGTAAAAACAGAACACAACTTAATGACAAGTGACTTTTACAGGCTGTGGCTTGACTTCAATCAAATCAAGTACGTGGAAAACGGAAGTTTCGCTGCTATTACCAAAGTCAGAGAAATTCATCTGGATAACAATAAACTGAAGAAAGTTCCTCCAGGCTTGAACAACCTGAAATATTTGCAGGTAAAACACAAATATGCACGCTATTGAAACATGATGCGTACAGAGATTGAATCAACTTCACTTCCTCTTTTAGGTGGTGTACTTACATGCCAACAGCATCACTTACATTGGAGTAAATGACTTTTGCCCTTCTAGAACCCGGGCTAAGAAAGCCCTTTACACTAGGATCAGTTTATATGCAAATCCAGTGAAATACTGGGAGATTCAGCCACCCACTTTTCGGTGCGCTTCCAGCCATAATTCGGTGCAACTGGGTAACCACAGAAAGTGAGTGAAACGGTACCGGCGTGCACCATCTTGCCACTGGAGGGCAGCATTATAACTAGTCATGAACTTCATCCTAATGTAATAAATGATCATTTCATGTCCTCTTGGTGATGTACAGAACTTAATTTATCCAAAATCCACGAGTATCCACAGTGGCTACAGATTCGTTACTTGAATTTGGTGAGGATTTCGAAGACTTTGAATTCCAGTAAAGACAGAATCAACTACACTGTGTGTAATAGTTACATAGGTTTTCATTATTAATGTTTATATTGAAATCTTTTCGACATTATAAAGACAGAAGAGGGGTTTTAATTGCATATTTTCAGATCAGGTGCTAAATAAATTTGTACCCATGTATTAAAGGTCTCTAAATAATTTTTGCTTATAAGGTACAACTGTCTAGAATTAAAAATAAATAAATAAAATGTACAAGGCCAGTTTGTTTATTGTTTTACTTCTTGTAATTTAGAGAACGGGCATTATTCACATGGTGCTTATTACCAGTTTTTGCGATAACAACAAATTAATATTGCATGCTAAATTTACATTATATAACTTTTTATTCATTGCCAGTGTTTTCTCTGAAATACTGGACATGGACATTCTTGTCAGATCACAGAAATTCTGAAAAATCGATCTGTATGGACCACAGGTTTGGTTACAGTTTACACAACACTGTCCCTGACATTTGCAAAACTGTACTTGCAACAAGTGTTTTCTTAGCCAGCGGTGCTGTATTATTTGTTTCCAATTCAGATTCTTTAGAAAAATAAAGAAAAATAAAACAGTACATCTGGTTGGCCTCAGAATCTGTCCGGCAATAAGACAAAAAAAACACAGCAGATGAAGACTTGTGTAAGGATTGGGAAAAATCACTGCAGCAACTGGAATATAAATAGTGACTGGGATTAATATAGCCAGGCGATAGTGATGTTTTGTTGAAATCATGTTCATTCATTATGTTTAACTAGGGCTACTCGATTATGGCAAAAATAACAATTATTTTGGTCAATATTGTAATCACGATTATTTAACACGATTATAAGTGGGCCACAAAACTTTATACGAGTGATTTATTTAAAGATAGCAATATATATCAAATATATATTTTCTGTAAATAATGTTGCTATGACATCTACATTTTAGATAGCAGAGAAATTTCACACTTCTCGATACCACAGCAGAATACTAGAGTAACTCATTTAAGTAAAAAACAATAAAAAATTAAACAGTAATACAATAAAGACAAAAAAAAACAAAGGACAAATACAATAAAGATACAAATTAAACAAACAGTGCTTAAAGTTTTTTTATGCAAGTCTGAAGTATTCAGCTAACAGAAATTTAATAATCGAATGTAAAATAAAACAGCATAGTCTTCATTGTAAGAATTTAACATCTTATGTTTCTTATTAAAGCTACAAAAGTCCTTCAGTCAATTCTTTGTCTTTTGTTGTTTGATTAATATTAAGCACAAAGTCAGCAGCAGGAATATTAGCCTGTTGTCACTTTAAGAGCTGCACGGATCTAATTTACTGTTACGCATGTATTTTCATTCTCAACTTCACTGTTGACTTAAAGGGTTAGTTCACCCAACAATGAAAATTAGCCCATAAATTACTCACCCTCAAGTCATCCTAGGTGTATATGACTTTCTTCTTTCAGACGAATCCAGTCGGAGTTATATTAAAAATTGTCTTTGATCTTTCAAGCTGTTTCGTTGTACTCAGCGGGTGTTGCATTGCTTCACCCCCGGGAGCCGTGTGAGACACTTTTTTTTGTGGAAGGGTGCTTTTTATTTCACGTCTTTTGAACCGAAGGAATGCAACACCCGCTGAGTACAACGATAGAGCTTGAAATATCAAAGACAATTTTTAATATAACTCCGACTGGATTCGTCTGAAAGAAGAAAGTCATATACACCTAGGATGACTTGAGGGTGAGTGAAACGCAGCCTAATTTTCATTTTTGACTGAACTAACCATTTAAGACATACCCGACGAGGGTTTACGTGAATGATCACCAATGTGAGTAGACACATTTTTGTATTTTGTATGTTTTTTGTATTTGACCATTTAAGCATGCACCTTAAGCTAAAAGTTGAATTTACATGTCCATGTTCATTTCCGTGTCAGAGCACATGCACAGAAAGCCTCCTGAGGTACAACTTAAGTTTTAAATACACAAATAAATCTAATAAACTTTAATAAATCAGGCTAATCCCATTTTGTGAAAGTCATGTTATATGAATTTACTGATTTGCACGTGAAGTTTGGGCTTTTATGGAGGAGCGAAAGCGCAAATCGCTGGAGGCCAAAATCGAAATCCAAACTGTATTTCGATTAATTGCACAGCTCTGTTTAATACTGTATAATTACTGTATACAATTGAAAAAAATTTGAACGTCAAAAAGGGTTTCCAAGTAACAGCCATTCTGAAAGCCATTTATAAACTTTTTTCCTATTTTAGTTAATTGGATGCTGTTAATTCAATCTATAACGAATGCTTTCTTTGGGAAAAATTCTTTGGAATGAAGTATGGCAACTCTTTAGTCCTACAGAAATCGAACCAGTCCTGGATAATGTAATTGTAGCTCAACTTCAAAATTTGGGGATAGTGGGTCTCAATGTAAAAAGGAATGATATACTACAGCAAAACTGCTAGATGTGATTAGACTAACAATCAAAAATGAGCTGATTAATTTTTTATTTTGTGTCCCTTAAACTTAATTTTGGGTCTGAACGGGTTAAGATGGGGGGAAAAAACAACATAGAGGGGTGGAGGCTACAGAGAGAGAGAGGCTCTGCTCAGGAAACATATGGAACAAATCTTCAGGTTGGCCTGATTTGCTGCTGCCACGTCTTGCATACCGGCGTCTCCAAAAAAACTCACAACAGGTTTGGATCATTTAGGATCTCTGAGCCCCAGAAAACACCTGAGGGATTCGGACACAGATTTAAAATGGTTTAAAGCTACACTAATACATCACAATCAGCGTAAACCCTCAGATGTGAACAATTCTGCACAGTAATTTTTCCACTTGTGTGATGAATCAATCATTATGAAATATCTGATATTATCAGATATTACTGTAGTTTGATGCTTCAGATTAATCAAATTATCAAACTCGTTCTTCAATGTTAAGGGTTTTTTTTTTAGCTAGTAATTGGCCTTAGGGTCTCAAATAGTACATGAGGCTGAACTCTTGCAAACGCAAAGTAAGCTTGTGTAAAATGTGAGCACATAACTATGAAGAACTGATTCTAGGTCTAGTTTAGAACTTTTTTACACACACCTCATGCTTTTCCCCCATCCAATTTCCCTCCAGAGTAAATACCTTTGAACCAAGACAGAAAACAACCACCCAGCTTGTTTTTATCAGCCTATTTCAAGAAGGCCACCAGACCACTTCCCTCCTCTGGAACATTTTCCAAAAAATCTCTAAATACTGTTTTGTTCAGACACACATTTGTGGATTCAGTTTTAAAAAGGTTCAAATGGTCCATAAAATATAAATCATGGTACTTGCATGCAGGTAAAACTATGACAAATGGTGTTTACACCAAGACTACTTTTGTGTCAGTCAACAGTAAAACATTTATTTAACTGGAAAAATAGGTCATTAAGATCAATAGGTATGTAAGCATTGCGGTGAAAACTCAAATGTGACTGCAAACGTATATTCGCAATTCCTAATCAAGAAAGCACAAGTGTGACAATTAAAATGCAATGCATATGTACATTTGCATATTCCCCAGAAGTCATCCTAATATTTGCACATTGCTAAAGAGCGTTGCCCATGCTTGAGTAGATTGCATGCAACTGCTCATCTTTCCCAAGCCTGCATGGTAAAGTCACATTTTGACAACAAATAAGCCAGGCTACGTTTATCAAAGACCGAAAAATATGGCTTGCCAACGCATTTTGTTCCGTTTTCACCCCCTTCCTCACAAAAATGGCCCAAAAGAACCTCTTGGGATCGCAATCCTGACTGTTCTTTTTTTTTTTCAACCCGCAGTAGCATTCATGATGCAGAGACTTCTCAGTGTCTGCCATGTGGGTAGCAGCAAAAACAAATCTTCCAGCTGACAGAATGAGTGCTAAGGGGTCTGTCTAGCCAACTCTGAAAAAAACGCCACTCTGTAGACGGGTCATGAGAGACCGTCTGTGGTTTAACTCCGATGCAGTACAAGCACTGGAAAAAGTAGTCATGTTGCAGAAGGCCTCCATAAAGTGAGCTAGAAATGTCTAAACCAATTCAATTGAACCCACTTAATCATCGCCAATGCATTTTAGGCCAGTTTTGCCGACTGTCATCTTCCTTCTCACTTAATAAAAAATTTTGGAGGAACACTGGCTAGTTCTGGTTTTCATTTACTATATACATACTGTATATAGCATAATATTTATTATATAGTTTTAATATTACACTTTAAATCTTGCATAACATTAGCCGCACTAGTGCAACACCTGTTATGAGTCTGGGTTAAATTTTTACTGTCCACATGCAATAATGTGGACTGGATACTAAGCTATTCCTTCCAGAATTATGTCTGGAAACTTCAACCTCACCTCAACTCAACAAAAGGGGAAAAGAAGAATCAGATGAGACCACGAGGCTTTACTGAGGTCAGCGAACACATGCAACCAAACGCTTCCAGAATCACTTCCACAGTAAAAGAGGCAGATCTCAATCTCTCCCGAAACGGCTGATGCTGCTGCGGGGGAAACCACAGAGGTAAACCTTTCACGCTCGTCCCAGGAGAAAAACATTTCCCCGCTTTAGGCAACATCGTTTAAGCTGAAGGGGTCTCCTGCTGCTGGGTTTCATCTTGGGCGCTCAGTGTTCACAATCTCACTCGGCCTCCCACTGAGAGAATAACAACCCCACAGGTATGACATCATGATTTTAAAGATCGTACACTATATAAGGCTGAGTAACGAAATCAAGGGAGTTACTTTAATTCTGATTTGTGTCAGATTTGATATCATTCGCATTCGTGTCTGCGAAATGAATTGAGCATTACTATAAATAGAAGTATATTCATATTCCTCTTAAAGGGGTCATATGATGCGATTTCAATTTTTCCTTTCTCTTTGGAGTGTTACAAGCTCTTGGTGCATAAAGAAGATCTGTAAAGTTGCAAAGACTAAAGTCTCAAATCCAAAGAAATATTCTTTATAAAAGTTAAGAGTCAGCCACACCTACCTAAAACGGCTCGTTCTAACACACCCCACATGTCTACGTCACGATGTGAGAAGATTTCACAATCACAAGTATGATGATGATCGGGTCAGTCGCACTGGTGCTCCTAAAAAATGTTCATAGTCGCACGCAGTAGTTTTCAGTCGCAAATGCGACTGAAATGGTCGCACTGTAGAGCCCTGC